TTGCTTTTCTATCTTATGTGGACAAAGGAGAGAAACTCTCAGCCCTCCTATGTAAAGCTCATTTGTCCTTTTGAAGAGGGGGATATTAATGACTTTAGGGTAATAAAAGCATAATTCAAAAGGTGTTCTGCTAGTGAGTTTTGATATGAAAAGTAAAATTAAAAAGTTCTAGTCTGAAAGATGAGTAAGGAATTGGGACAAGTCAAATTAATAATGTATAATGAGATGGAATTCTGAGTCAATCCACTAAGAATTTTCTCACGATTAAAAGTGAAGTTTAATTGCCATTTTGAAGGAAACATGTTACTTATTCTATTCATATACATTTCTTTAAAAACAATAATTATGGATCTTCTATTTGTGTGTGATTGTGAGAATGGCTGATTGATCTATTGGCTTAAACTGTTGGGAAAGAAATGAGAGTAAATGATTCTCACTAATGACAAATGAATGATGAAGTAGACTTTCTTTATGAAGGCATGTAGAGACTATGATTAATTAGCCATTCAGTGTAATTGAATTTTTTCCTTCTTAACATGACTGGACAACTGATATAGTTTACATAGGAGATTATGTTGAATCTAATTGTGGTGTCTCAGCAGTCTGATTAGTTAACTTTGCTCAAAGTTTCTGAGTTGTAGCAATAGAGATAAACTCCCCCTCTCCTCTTTTGATTTATCTGAAAAGCAGTTTTGCTTTTACTTCATTGTAATGTGGTGTAAATAGATAACATGCTTTTATTAGTTTAAGTAGCTTAAGTGATATGGAATGGAAATGAAAGAGAATGACCTGGCTCCTTCCCTGTGGTTAAAATGAGATTTCACCTGCGACTTTGTGTTCTTGGTTACCCCTGAATGTTTTACACCGAGGAGATTATTGTAAATCAAGTTCTCCACAAATATTGTATTTCATTTCCATTTAGTGTATGTGGCACTGGTGATTCCATAAAATGGGAAATAATTACTATTCTGTTCTTGTCTCTGGGATTTGCTAAAGAGATAACATTTCCCAGCTGGGAGACTAAGACACTCTCCTACCGCTGACTTTTTAAGAGATTGCTCTATCCCTTTTGGTAATTTTTAGTTTTGTTGTAATGAGGGAAATGGAGGAAGGAAAGAGAGTGTAGTCACGTTAGACTGCCTAAATAAGCAATTGATTCAGTCAATTTTCCAATGGAAAACTCAGGCAAACAAGTTAATATCATACAAAAAATGCAGATGTTTGAGGAGATTGTTCATTTTTATCAGTATGTTTTAGTGTCATACAGATACAATTCCAAGCTAAGTTATATACTTAGAAGAAAATTCTCTTTTTGGTCATAAAGGTTATATCGTACCATGATTCCTTTGATATGCTGAGACATTTAGTGAAGATTCAGCTAGTCCTTTCAAAGGCCAGACAAGACGTTGTTAGAGTAGAATGAAAAAGTAGATCTTCAGATGCACTGTGACAGTGTGATTCATGCTAGCAAACATTTATTAAGCACCTACTATATTCAAGGCATTGTCCTGGGGTTTGGAGATATGAAGGATTAATTAAGGCTCAGGTCTTCACCCTGTTGGTGCCTACCCTCTAGGAGGGTATCATACCTAAAGAAATAACTATCCTATAAAATAGGACCCGATAATTTGTTATGCAGGGCAATGTAACTCTGGACATAAGACCTGGAGAAAATCACTTTGTTTGAGCAGGGCTGTGCTGGCAGATATTTAACAACCCGTTCTTCAAAAAATATATGCTGCACCTACTTTTACATTTAACCTGAATTATTAGCATTTCCCTCATCACTTTCTTAAGTCTAGACAATCAACAAAACAATAAACCAAGCTTTAATTTGAAGCATTGGCTACAAATGAGGTTTAAATGCTCACGTGGAAAATTTAACAATCTATGAGCTGGCTCCAGCATCCCCACTGCCTCTGCACTTCAGGTTTTTAATAATAATAATAATAATAATAATAATAATGATAATAATAATTAGTTAATAATTATAACAAGCATTTTATATAAGATTGGCAAGGTGTTTTACACATATTGGCTCATTTGATCTTCACAAAAACTCTGGTGCTATTATCATCCTTTATCTACAGATGAGGAAGCTGAGGAAATTGAGGCTGTGCAAGAAGTTAAGTGATTTTGTTTAGGGTCAAACAGCTCTTCAGCATGTGAAACAGGATTTGACCTCAGGTATTACTGTCTTCAAGTACAACCTCTCTGCCACCTAGTTATTTAGGGTGTCCTTATATTTAGGCTATTAATACTTAAAACCACACTAAGACTTTTGGAATGCCAAAAGTATTATGGACATGAGAAATAATAATTGTCCTAGGTGGACCAGTGGATAGAATGCCACCCCTGAAGTCAGGAAGACTCATCTTCCTGAGTTCAAATCTGTCCTCCGACAGTACCTGTGCAACCCTGGGCAAGTTATTTAACCCTGTTTGCCTTGGTTTCTTCATCTGTAAAATGAGCTAGAGAAGGAAATGGCAAACCACTTCAGTATCTTTGCCAAGAAAACCCCAAATTGGAATGTGAAGTCAGACATGACTGAAATGACTGAAGAACAAGACCTGAGGTGTTTTTGTAAGGAAAGCCCTTTGTTAATTTAACAGTGCTATCTAAACATAAGTTATCATTATCATGTTCATCATTATTATTATGAACATTGCTTTGTAGTTTTAAAGTTTTACTAAATCATGGTATATATCTCACCATCTTAATGCTCTTTTAAAATTTACTGATAGCTATAACAGGTCTGTTTCTCTATTTTTTTTAGCTAGTATTGAATATATCTAGAAAAAAGACTCATTCTTAAGGAAACTACTTATGTAAGCATATATTTATTTTCAGATTCTATTCTTTTTCTTCACTTATGATAAATATAATTAATTATATATTAGATAGAAACATAAAATAAATATAATAAATATAAAAATATAATTAATTCTCAATTTTAGCTCTTCTTCAGTATTTGAGTGAAAAACACAAAATAAAGGCAAATAAGTAATCTACAACATGAGGCACAAAATTATATGAGATCAGAAGATGTCTTCTACAAATTCTTTTTAGAGAGGCACAATCATTAGGGCATTTCACTAGGTAATTTTCTAATCCTCTAATGATAACCTACAGATTATCTACATTATAATCTATATCTATCTCTCTGTCTACAGATAATTTATATTAATTCGTGGCAGTTCCCTACACTGATGAAATCATAGGATTAGACAAAGAGTAATTTACTCTGATACTGGAATAGAACCTTAAATTTGTACTCTTAAGATGAAGTCATTGGCCTCCAGATATAGGGGGATACACCTTTGGGAGTTCGTGGAGGCTCAGTGATGACTTGTCAGTGTTGGGATAGAGGGGATTTTTCTTCAGGTGTTGGTAGGAAATAATCCCTGAAGTCCCCAGCTTTCAGATGTGTTTACAGTAGACAATTTGTTTTAACATCACTTCCAGCTTTTACAGTGGTTTTAAAGGGCTTTGGACAAGATAGCTGATCTTTATGTGTTTAAGATTTGCATAAACAATGCATAAAATCTCATTATGGACTTTTAAAATAAATGGCAAAGAGATACTACCCACTAGTCATATTCTTCCTATGCAAACACAATATATTCTGCATACTTATAAGATTCATACCATGATTTGATATTTAAGAAAGCAATATTACCTTCTTAAGTATGAAGTCATTTTTGCAGTTCGTGTCAGGTTCATTGACTGATTTTCCCAGTGAAGAAATTTGTGGAAAATTGACCAATCTCAGGCTTTGCGTTAAGTGGGGTCTCAAGGACCCCAGAGGACTTGAGATTTTGTAACATTAAAAAAAAAATTACAAACCTATTTTGTTGACTAGGGAAGTTGGAAAGGACTCTCTTGGTTACTTTTAAATAACAACAGGAGCAACGTTAGCAGCAAACAATGACAACAGCAGTACCACATGAGAGCTTGGCTAGAATGCTGACTCAGGAGGCCATGTTCTATAAATAGCGAAGAGGTGAGTGGGGTTATCTTAGGCAAAATCAAGGAACTGTGTCAAGGGCTTGAGTGTTGAGTCATCTTGTTAACTCACAAACACACACAGTAGATTTCATGCTTAGAGTTACAGTTTACTGTAACTACAAATGATTCCCACTGGGTTGTTCATCCCAGGTCCCCTAGTATTCTAAGTCACTCCCCACACTTATGGACTTATCTTTCCTCCTTCCTTTGGGGAGTCAGGGGTCACACTTTCCTTCCCTTACAATCTCTTCTCCCTCCTGTACCATAGCCCTTCTGCCCAGGGCTAAGCTCTTACTTTCTTTCAGCGTTACAATGAGCTAATCTGATAAACTTAATGTACTAATGAGAGAAAGCTGCAGGGGTTTCTTGTTGCACTTGACCTTTTTTTTTTTTTTTGATGCCACATGTCCATAATAAAAAGACTATTCTGAGAACTAGAAATTATTATTTTAATGTCAATCAATTATAAATAATAAAATTTAATAATAAATGATTATTAAATTAATGCTATTATTTTTATTACATCTATTTAAGTAAAATAAGAAAATATATATACTGATATGACAAGATTGATGAAAAATCTTAGAATAGAAAATACATATAGGTATGTGTATGCATGTGTGTGGTTAGAGTCATGCAGCAGGGTATACTGGGGGTCTGCTCACCCATCCCATGATCAAGGAATTTGGGAGGGAAAGTTCTTTAACCTTCAAAGAATATTTCTATGCTCTACCGTAATGATGTCTATGTATAGTATAAACTTATGTTTGCAATTTTCTATTGATACAATAAATACATTTGTAAGTTTATAATGCAAAGTGTAATGATAATGTCACATAAAATACTGGATTTTTTCCAAAAAGTTGTAAACTGAGGTTATTGTCCCTTTCTCATACAAAGTAGATCTCTCCTTTAAAAAAGTTTTCAACTCCTCAACTAAACTGTCATTTTCTTTTCTTTCGTTTTCTTTTTCTTTTTTAAAATATTCCTAGCTTCAGCACCTCAATCTGATGAAGGCTCCGATATTGATTCGGAACCAGACTTACCACTAAAGAGGAAACAGCGTCGCAGTCGGACAACCTTTACAGCGGAGCAGCTGGAAGAGCTGGAAAGGGCTTTCGAAAGAACCCACTACCCCGACATTTATACCCGAGAAGAACTTGCCCAAAGAGCTAAGCTCACGGAAGCCCGAGTTCAGGTACCAAGAGCAGAAGAGGTCTGCCAAAACACTGTGCTTCATGGTTCTGGTTGTTTTTATTTTTACTGCTGACTGGGATCATGGCAATAACTAGGATGGTATAACCAGGGCTTTGGTCTAGGCTACCACAATTTAGAGGGTACTGTTAGCATGTACACTCTTCCAGTGGCTGTAGAAACAACTGAGCTTAGCGCCTAGTTAGCAACAATTATTTAGCTATTCATTCATTCATTCATTCACCTAATCTTCCATTTATCTATCTATTGAGGAAAATCCCGGTTTCTTGGGCAGTTGCCATGTATCGCTTAATAAATCGACATGCTCATAAGATTGAACCTCTGTTTCCTCAGTCATTTCATCTTTCACCTACCACACTGTCTATCCATCCATCCATCCATCCATCCATCCATCCATCCATCCATCCATCCATCTATCTATCTATCTATCTATCTATCTATCTATCTATCTATCTATCTATCTATCTATCTATCTATCTATCATGTTACTGAACCTGTGATTGGTTGACATAGGGAATTCCTGGTGAGGAATTCTTTTTACAATGTATATCATCAACAGTGTAGCCAATTATTGCCTCAGAGTAGAGCTTTTTAACTTAAGTCTGGGAACTTTTTTAAATTGATAATTATATTTTACATAATTAATTTCCTTTGTAAACCCATATATTTTATTTTGTACATTTAAAGGCATTCTGAGGTGCATAGGCTTCACCAGATTACTCAAGGTGTCCTTGACACAAAAAAGGTTTAAGAAATGCTATAGGGAGTTGATGGGGACAGTTATGTGCCAAAGGTGACACTGTTATTATGTATCAGAGGTAGAAATTTTCTAACCTTGACATCAGCCACCTATTCATTATGCCATATTGAGACTCACTTACGAAGAATAATCAGTTAGTACTTGAAGCTAGCAGACGGTTCACTTCCTATCCTCAGAGGCTTCACCTCAGGTGAGCTCTTTCCTGGCCTGACTGTTTGCCTCTTCCCCACTGGATGGCAACCTCCCCAGCAGCTGCTCTGAGGTGTATCGGCGTTTCTGATTCCCCTTAATGAGGTGTTGTTCTCTATACTCAGCAACTGAATTTGACATGAAATGGATCTGAGGGGACATTTTGTGGGCTACTTGCCTCTGGGGCCAAAATCACTAGTTAAGGTTCTGACTAGGATTCATTAATTCAACAAACATTTGTTTTGTACTTGCTATGTGCAGTGCTTTGTGACCTTATGCTAAACACTAAAAAATGTTAACCCTAGAAAAGACCTTAGAGATCATCCCGTCTAATCTTCACAATTCATAGATGAGGAAACTAAGGCTTAGACAGGCTATTTAGTTAGGGAGAGGCATGAAAACTTGTATCTTGATATATACATTAAAAAAAAACAACAGCCAAAACATTTAGAGAAACACAGAACAACTGAAGAAAGTTGCTTGCAAAGTCTTAGTTTTAGATTTTAAAATGTAGTATTACTAGGAAAGGGGTGACTAGATTCAGTCTTTGGTTGTCATTGCTAGGAGAATATTCTATTCTGGGTAAGATTTCAAGCTATTCAATTCTTCTGTTGCAAGTAATTTTACCATTTTATTTGTTTATTTTTCTAAAAAATCATCTTTTATTTTTTACTGTATCTAAAATGCAGTCGCCTCTGGTTTGTCCATCATTCCATCACTGGAAATTTCTCTTAGCTGTCACTGTACATTACAGTAATAATTGATGCTCAAGATGGGCAATTAAGCAATACTTATTGAATGTCTACTGTGTCCAGGGGAAGGGCTAGGCACTGAAATGATGCCCCTGAGGCCATGTAGGATCCAGAAATAGACTGTGGATGATCTAAGGAAGTGTAATCAGGTGAAAGCACAGACCTCGGCGTCAGGAAACCTGAGTTCCAGCCTCACGTCTGTCACTGCCTTCCTGGGTGACCTTGAGCAAGTTATCATCCCCTAATTCCAAGAGATTATCTTTGGGTTTTGGTCTTCTCCTATGAAAAGTGAGGAGGTTTTCAAGGGTCCCTTCTAACAAATAATCTATGAGCAAATATTCCATCTCTTTGCTAATTATACTATTTTAATGCTTCCCACAGTGCTTTGAACACAGGGGAAACGCCTTCAGGGAAAGTCTGACTTTAGTGCAAAATATTATTATTGGTGGTGAAGCAGAGTGTATTAGAGCCTTCTATGTCAATAGTGGACTGCCTCCTAGGACAGTAGGGTACAATTTAACAAAGCACATTTTCTAGGCTACTAGTAGTTAATTTTCCTCACTTGGAAAATGCACACTCTATATTAGATGCTAAAGTGCTCACAACCAAAGCAAGGGTTGAGACAACCATGTGGGTCATCTATTTTTCTGCAACCTCTGCCTTGTCTCTGTACTGGGAAAGATGCTCTGACCTTGCAGAGTAAGTCAGCTCCCTCAGAGCAGCAGAGCCCCACTGGGTTCTGATCAGTTTAATTCCTTCTTGGTTGCTGGTTCAGAGATCATTCTAGTCACCGTTCAACAAATATTTAATAATAAATTAATGTGTTTAATTTATTTACTTAATTTTTATTATAATTTATTAATGATTATTACTAACCTAACATTCATTAAGCCTATGTAAACAGAATGCTGGACTTAGAATAAAAAAGACATGAACTCAGATCCTGCCTCTTGCATGCACTTACTAGGAGACCCTAGCTAAGTCACTTCATCTCACTGTTTATCAGTCAATTCCATGGCACTTATCTGCTATGTCACGGAAGGGTTATTATGAGTTGGTGAGGGAATGTTATACTGGGATTTCCCACATAAAACCAGAGATCCTTCAAATCCTTGCATGTAGAAAGTACTATGAAAGATACTGAGAATACAAAGATAGCTATGATATAGTCCTGTGATGGAACTATATCCTGCACAGTGCATTGCATATAATGCAACATCATAAAACTAACTTTTATTAAATACCAGTTGTATGCAGGGCATTGTATTAATGCTGGGGGAGGGAGTTACAAAGTTTAGATGTGATACATAATTTGCCCTCAAGTGAAAGCTTACAGTCTAGGAGGAGGAAAAGACTAACACATAATATTTCATAAGAGTGTTAGATTTTTTTAATTTAATACCTAATGCACATTTTTGAATTGATTCTAATTTTTGAAAACCCTTGCTTTTTTTGAGGAGGAGGTGATAGAATTTTCTGGTTGGTCCTAAAAGTAAATTTGAAAAATGAATTATTAGTCTCCCAGGACAGCAGACATTTTCAAGTTTGCACAATGTAATTTGGACAATGTATTCCTCATTTCCTAATCAAGAAATGATCTAGTGTTAAAAATGAATGAAAATGGATTGAGATAAGTCTCTTCATAAAGTAGCATGTCTGCCTGTTGTTAACTAAACAAAAAATAACAATCTCTAAAATTTCTTAACCAAAGAGAGTGAATGAGGCCACTTAAAAGCACATACAGTATTTTGTAGATAATATTTATTTTACTTTTACTGAAAATGGAGCTGCATTACAGAATAAGTTTCAAAACCTTAAAGTGAGGTTGTATGATCTCATGTAAATCTTTCTGCTTAGTAAGTGTCAAAAAATAAAAATCACTTAGGAGCAAATGAACAAATTTTTCTCCCTACTTGTTTGTATTTTTCCATATCAGTGACCTACAGTGGGCCAAAAAAGCAGAACCCCTCATTAACATAACAGCTGTCTTAGTGTGGCTTTAACCCAGTGACTTTTTACATTCCTTACGGCTTCCTCAGTTCCCTTGAGAGACATCATGCCTCACACTATGGCTATGATCTACGGCCTAACAAATTCCCGACAACATATAGCATATGGATCTTTTGCTCAACCCAGCATGGAAGAAAAGGTAGTAGTCAATTGGTGATAAAAATGCAAGCACAAAAGCCTTTTTTTCTTCTTTTTTTGGGTAAAGATGAGTTGGAAAAGAGGGAACTGAACATGGTTCTGTTTTACTAATACTAAAGTGGTCACTGGTTTCAGTTTTTGGTGAATGAAAAATAAAACAAAATGAAAAACAAGGAAAGAAACACACAACCCCCCTGACCCTAACCCAAATTACCCTTTTTGTCAAACACAGTATCTGAGGAAATGTGTTTCTAACAATATTGCAGACACACACACACACACACACATACATGTACATACACATATAAAAATAAAATTTTGTATGACATAAATGTCAGCTCTTCATCTTCTTCTTTGCTATGTTAGGAGATGAGAATAAACCTGCAATATTTTTACTTTAGTGCTTTTTTTCAGTCTATCCTCACATGGAAAGGTGTATTGAGTTACTTCTGCTAAATTCTGAATTTTAGAAAAAAAAATCTACCACTGTTGTGTCCCCAGGAACTATTTGTTCAACTTATCTGGCATCTTCCTCCAAAGAGAAGTGAGTTGGCAAATGACAAAAACATTTAGAGAAATAGAAACTCCACTTTCACCCTTGTAATGTATCAAATTATGTAATACTATATCATAGCTTAGTAGGGGGCAATAGAAAGAGAATTCTTTCTCTCTCTGGCGATCAGCTGATGGCCTGAACCTTGGGGATTTATAGTTCTTGTAATATTATATTGGCTTAAGTTATTGTAGCTGTTACTATGCAAATAATCACAGGTGATAAAGTTTTAGTGGGAAAGAATGTCTCTTAGCAGATTTTATGATGTGCAAAATACTTATTTTTTACATGCTTTCATGAGAATGTTTTGTTTCGTTAAATTGTTTCTTTAAACTAGGTAAATAAGATCATTCTGCTTTTATAGAAGGAAAGCTAGAAGTGAAAGAGAAGAAAATTCACAGGATTCAAAATCTACTGGGCTAGGAGATAAGAAAACTGGTGTCTGGCCCAGGTTTTGCCTCTAAGAGGCTGTGTGACTTTGAATATATGACTTCATCTGTATGAATCACAGTTTTCACAGGCTAGACTCTGTGGTTCCTTTTACTTCTAGCATTCAATATTCTAGGAGCAATTATTCATTGGTTGTTCAAGGTCATACATCAGGTCTGGAACTCAGACTATTTCATAATAAATATTTGGCTTTGAGTTTAAGGTTGGAACAAAAATGTGGCCTGCTCTGATTTCTCCCTGTAGGCTCACATATTCTGCAGGGACAGCTAGGGGGCACAGTGGATAGAGCACTGGACCTGGATTCAGGAAGCCTCAAGTTGAAATCCAGGCTCAGATATTTAGTAACTGTGTGACCAGGGCAAGTCATTCAATCTTAGTTTCCTCACCTCTAAAATGATAGCAATATTAACACCCACCCTTTAGATTGTTGTGAAGATAAATAAAATGAGATAATAATTATAAAAGAAATAGCAAATTGTACAAAATAGATTTGCAGTTTCATGTGCAATTATCTTTTTAAAATTATAGCATTTAATGATATGATTGTTTTATTCCATAAATTAAAAATACATTTAAAAAAAGCACTTGGTGAACCTTAAAGCTCTATATAAATGCTAGCAATTATTGTTATTTCTCCTCTGGTTGTCCTTTTGACAACTCTGGTTGTCCATATTGGCATATGGGAAGGGTGAGCAAGATGTCACTGCCATCATCACCTTCTTTCTTCTCTCCATTTTCTATATGATGATCATGAGTAAATAGGGGCAGTGGGAGGAGGGCTGTTTGGAGACCAGAGAAGATGGGCAAAGGAAGTGGCATGGCTTGAGAGCTATTACATTAGCACAAGCAGCTCAGCCTGGGCTTGTGTTAAGTTGGCAAGACCTACAGAAGACATGATGCCATTCACACCTTGAGGTTATCCACTTAATGTTTTATAATGAAGGACAGTGATTTGTTAGTTTATATAAACATAAGACAACAGATGAGAGTAATGGCCAATATGGGATGCCATGGATGGATCTGTTGGAAACACAAGAACATGTTATTCTAATGTAGATTCTAGAATGTTAAAATTAGGGAAGATCTCTTCCAAGTCTCTTATTTTTTGGAAGAAGGAGCTGAAGCCTAGAGAGATAAAAAATGACTAGCCAAGACCACTTTGCTATTTAGCAAAGGGAGGGTGATGTAGTAGAGGGGACACCGAACTCAGAGTTGAGTGGGTTCAAATTCAGCTTTGTGACTTACTAGCTGTGTAACCTTAGACCACTTGCTTTCCCTCTAGTTCTGATTCCAAAACTATATACGAGAAGGTTATAATGAGAAGGTTTGACACAAAGGTTCTTCAGCTGGAATCCATGACCTTGTTACAAGTTTAGTATTTTGATAACTATTTCAATGTAATCGATTTCTTTTGTAATTCTATAAATGCTATTTAATGGAATTAACAACATTATTCTGGAAAGGGGCCCATAATCTTCACAAGACTGCCCAAGGGATCCAGGATACACACACACACACACACACACACACACACACACACACACACACACACACACAATTAAGAACTTCTAGCCCGGAAGGATGAGGACATACTTCAGAAGGAGTAGTAAGTCTTCTTAAAGGCAGCTCAGGATCCAATGGGGGCAGAAATGAGTTTGTCTCTGGCATGAGGAAATCATGTGTGTGAGCAAATCCGTGGAGGAGGGAAATGTAATGCTGAGTTTGAGAAGTAGTAAGTTAGTGTGGTTAGACTACAGTGTGTGAAGATGAGTAAAATTAAATAAGTCTGGGAAAGTAGCTTGTAATCAGAACAATGTTTTAAGGAGACTTAAAAAAAATTATATGTACCTCTAGGCATAATCTTTCTAGGGGCCCCTCTTAAATTTCAGAGTTTTGTGTAATGTCTGCGTAAAATAATAGCACAAAGAAACTATCTTTTATGTCAACATTTCTGAGAAATTGGATTTCTTGGTAATATTTATTCTCTTGTCCTTTTGTCTCCTCATAGTCATAAAATAATTCAAAAATAGCCTCATAAGCATATTATGCCCCCTCATTTTGAACACTCGGCTTCCTTAGTCTACCTTGTTTATTCCCATTAGGAGTACTATAATGTCCCACAGTTTGAATGGAAAGCAACACCGTTTCTTGTTTTGTGTTCTGTCAAAGTTTTTATGGATACTCTAGAACTGTGCATACAAAGGCCATAGAAATTCACAGGCTGAGGGGCAGGCAGTGGATAGAGCACCGGCCCTGAAGTCAGGAGGACCTGAGTTCAAATCCGGCCTCAGACCAAACACTTGACACTTACTAGCTGTGTGATCCTGGGCAAGTCACTTAAACCCAATTGCCTAAAAGAAAAAAAGAAAAAAAAAAGAAATTCACAGGCTGACCAATAAAACCTGAAATCTGGTGGCAAAGCATAGTCAGTGGGGTAGCCTTTGAAAACATTGGCATCGGGAGCATATGGTCAATCTAAAGCCCTGACCATATGGTTTCTGTGCCCCATCTACTAATGCTGTGTCATTAGATGCCAAGGTTTTAGTATTTTATTTGTTATTTATTGTATTCAGGGTTTTATATATATATGTATACACATATACATATACACATATAATGTGTATGTATGTATACACACACACTCTATGTATATATTCATATGTAGATATGAATGTACATAATGTATGAAAGTATATGATGTATTTATATTTATATACAATTATATATGAATGAATACATGTATACATATATACACATATAAATGCATATACTATACATGAATGCATATACATACACATAACATATCGACATATCTATATCTCTCCATCTATGTAGAGGTGGGTGAAAGTATGGTGATGGTGGGCAGGGATAGGTTGTTGTTGTACCTACTCCTGCTTACTCATTCTGGACTCTGACCACCACAAAGCTAATACAGGACCAATGAGAATTCCTGAAGTCCTTTCACCGACCCCTAAAACTTTGTTGTCCTTATTCTCTCTATTCCTCCCAAACCCCACCCCACCCCAAGTCCCAAAGAAAACAGAAGGCTGAGTATTTTTGCTCCTTTTCCCCTTGTCAGTAAAAGGGTCTTTAATCCATTTTGCATGAAAAATTCATTATGAATGTACTATTATTTCATCAATGAAATCCTCAAATTTTAAATTAAATCCATAGGTCTGGTTTAGCAACCGCCGGGCAAGATGGAGGAAGCAAGCTGGGGCCAATCAATTGATGGCTTTCAACCATCTAATTCCGGGGGGATTCCCTCCTACGGCCATGCCAACGCTCCCAACATACCAGCTGTCGGAGACCTCGTATCAGCCTACATCAATCCCACAAGGTATGTTGGAAAGAAGTAAAGGAGACTAAAATAGAATTACTTTTGTTAAGATTATATATGCATGTATATATATGTATATGTATATATATACAATATACATATTATATATATGTACATTCACACATATGTTGTTGAGTCATTTCAGTTGTGTTTGACTCTTCATGTTTGTGACTCCATGTGGGGTTTTCTTGGCAAAGATACTAGAATGGTTTGCCATTTCCTTCTCCAGCTCATTATATCATCTATATCCATCCTTCTATTTAGAATCTGTAAGAGTAAGGGGATTCATAGACTAGTCATATTTTGTCACATTTTTGTTTCCTGTAAGGAGCATTGTATACGGGAGTAGCCTACACAAAGTTGCCCTGGCTAACCTGTGCTATGTAGACATCGGTCATTTTAGTAGGAACATCATTCTGATTGGGTCTTCACAATTGTATCATTAATGCACTTAAATGAAGAACCATCTGAACTCAATAGGGCTGGGTGCCCTATTCTAACATCTCTCAGACAGTCCCTGGAGACGAGCCCTGCTTAGCCCTAGTGTCCAATTAATTGTTGCCCTTCATTAGGGCTGTTAGACATCACAGGAGAATGGTCACACAAACAGTACACAGATAAGGGGTTAATAACCATCCCGTTCACAAACACGCAGCTTGAATTGCCTCCCTTGGCTGCTTAGATTACAAAAGAAAACCAAAAAAAAATCACATTCGATTTTTAAAACTTTTAGCCTAACTTCTTCAAATTCATAGTCATAATTTCTTCTTCACTATGTAATAATAATAATCACAGTAATAATAGCTAACATTTATATAGCTCTTTGAAGTTTGCAGAACACTTTATAAATATCTCATTTTATCCTCACAACAATCTTAGGAGATGGTTGTTATTATTATCCCTATTTTGCAGATAAGGAAACTAAGGCAGACAGCAGTCAAGTGCCTACGGACACACAGCTAGTAAGTGTTTGAGACTGGGTTTGAGTTCAGTCCTTCCTGACTTCATGCCTAGCCCTCTCTCCACTGCACCTCCTAGCTGCCTAAATATGAGCAGTAGCTAATGGTTAGCAACCCAGTCTGATTCTAGCCTCGGATCTCTATGAAGACTCACTTGAAAAAAAAAAAGACTCATTTGAGTTTTTGTAATCCGAATTTTGGCTAATTTTCCATTTATAATGTTGTTATGGAAATAACCTCTCCCTAAGAGAATTACCTTACTGAAAACACACACACACACACACACACACACACACACACACACACATATATATATATACACACACACACACACACACTTTTTTTTGGGGGGGAGGGAGAGTAAGGGAAAGAATGATCAACACAGGTGGAGTGTGTCTGTATTTTAGTGTGTGTTGATAACATGCTGTGGTATCATGCAATTCTCCAGTAGTTTCTTAGAAACTGATGAACTTTCATGAATGAGAATGAGATCTATCCATTGCTGTTGAATTTATATCCAAGCTTGCAATCATAAAGGAATGGCACTTTACTAGGTAATTTTTGGAAAAACCAATATTTGCCAGTTTATTGATTGATTAAAGAATATTAGCTATAAACACAATAATTTTGAAACTTAAAACATCACTATGAGATGAATTGAATTTTATTTTAGGTATTTTAAATCATCATTTGGTTAATATTGAGGTGGTCCCTTAAAATACGTTGTCAGAAATTTGAGACCTCCTGTTCCTATATTGGCCTACCCAATTGATAATTCAAGCAGGAAATGATAATATCAATATATAGAATGCTCAGCACTTGGCATAGAGAAAAATATGTTTACGCAGAGAAATAAGCATTGATAATTCCAGGTTGATATAGTTTATATATGCGTAAATTTGAAAGTATAAAACTATGTGTTCAGACACATCTACATATTCCACACTGGCAAGTTAAGAACCCGTTGACGATTAAAGTTTTGGGGTACAGTTAATGAACGATGAACCTCCATGCTGAGGTTGTTATGCTGGAACACAAAAGAAATGAACGTCCGCTTAAAAATGTCTCTTTTCATTTTAGCTGTCTCTGACCCCAGCAGTACAGTCCACAGACCTCAGCCTCTTCCTCCGAGCACTGTACACCAAAGTACGCTCCCATCCAATCCAGAGAGCAGCTCTGCATATTGCCTGCCCAGCACCAGACATGGATTTTCCAGCTATACAGACAGCTTTGTGCCTCCATCCGGGCCTTCCAATCCCATGAACCCCGCCATTGGCAATGGCCTTTCACCTCAGGTCAGTCCCGTGTTTCCAGACAGAGGATTTGCTGTATACCAGAACCAAATCGTCTATTCCCTGAGGCACCAGTATAATGAATTGCCAAATTTAAACCATAATGTATTCTTTATACAAGCCACATGATTTTAGTTTGCTAGTTTCCTTCCCCCCCCCCCCCCCGCCACTGGCTGCATCAAAAGTTGTAGCTTAGTTTTAATTTCAAGTGATTTTTAATGTAATCATCCAGACTTGGTGTTTACATTGAGTTGTCAAGGCATTTGTAATGTGCAGCCTTCTCCACTCCCTAGTCCTGTTCCTTGGTTAGGAAACTTCACAAACATTGGCATCTTCTATGAAATTTGGTCAGCTGATAGGATTTCCAGAAAAAAAGGACCCTTTAAGAAAATACCGGAGCTTTGACAAAACAACTTGAGAAGGAAAACAAGTCATGTGGAGAGAGCCCCAGGTGATGCCCACTGTACTCTGGAATAAATGAGTTAGAAATGCACAAATTAAAAGAAAGGCCCCTCTTTGGAAATAGACAAATATTTGAATGTCATAATTGTTTTTCTAATTTGCATTGGACTATGAGCTTTCCTTGGGAAATCGTGTTAATAAATTGCCTTGATAATGGCATGTCAGAAGGTTGGTTAAATTTCCTACATGTGGCATCTGTCTGAAGTTGACATTATTAGCAGTTGTTGAAATACACAGCCTTGATTTTATTAGCTTGAGCTTAGCCCAGGTGTGGGCAATAGCTGTCCATGGAATTTGGAGAAATGTCACCGATGGGGTTGCAATCTATAATTACAATCAGGAATCTCTTCAGGGCTGAGAGGGAGAGTTTTAACAGCTTTATCTTTCCTCAACCTTTTTTTCCTCTCAGTGGTGAGAAAAACAGAGAGAGGCACAGAATGACACAAATGAAAAGTGAAAAGACAATTATACTCAATTACACACTAATCACCGACTATCACCACTGTCTGAGCAGGGAGAGGGCATTCTAATAGGCAGAAAATGAGATTTTAATGGCACAAAGGGTGGCCAAAATAACGACTCATATATCTTTGCCTCCTTCCTTCGCTCCGACTTGTGGTTTGCATCTCCAGAGTGGAGTTCCTGGTCTCTGCACAACGGTGATAACTCTGAGCAGCTGAAAAGTTCAAAGACGTTGGGGTTGAAAAGAATGAATAGCAAAGGCGATGAAATAAACATTTCTGCCTAAAGGCAAAAGTTCATAAGCCCTTTTTTGTAACAGTCAATGTAATTAAGTTTCATAGATTCCTATAGCACATAGTGGGATTAAAAAAGAGGGAGAGAGGGAAGGAAAGGAAGAGGGGGAGGGAGAGATGGAGATGACTTTAAACCTCAGTTGAAAAAGAACAACATGAAAACCAATGAAAGGGATTCCAATGAGACCTTAATAAGTTTAGTTTCGAAGTCCTGGTATTTCCAAACGCAACTCCTAACAAAAAGCATGGCAGTCCACTCGCAGATTCATCTTCCAGTGCCCAGATTCCAAGGATGGGGAGGGGAGGTGCTTCTTCTAGGAATCTCTTAGGCACCCTGAGTTAATCCATCAGAAGCAGTTATCAGAGTCAGTTTCAGCACCAGCCATTCTGGACCATAGAAAAACCTTTTTATTTTTATTGAAACAAAAATAAACTCCAACCTGAGACACATCTCATAACTTTAGAATAGTGACTCTAGGTATACACACACACACACACACACACACACACACACACACACATTTTATCTAAATATTGAAATGAAAATAAACTCCAACCTGAGACTCACCCCATAATCTTAGGCTATTGATGCCCTGCCCCCACTTCCCCATTGGCTGAATATTGAAATGAAAATAAATTCCAGCTGTGGACCCATCCCATAACCTTAGAACAGTGAGGCCAGAGGTACTGGCATTGATAAGAATAACACTGTCACTGTTGCATCAAGAAACCTCATCCTCCAAGGAGAAAAAAAATCATTTCTTTAACAGGAAATGCAAAATTCCGTTGTGCAGTTTTGCCTCACTGTGATAGTCATTGAATTTGAGATCTGGAAGAGATCTACCTACCCCCTTATTTTATAGGTGAGGAAACTGAGGACCAAAGAGACAGAGAGACTTGCATAGGCCCTCCCAGGGAATTGGTGGTATAGATCAAGAAAGGCAGATTTCCTGATCCCTAATGCAGTACTCTTCCAACCATACCAAATTTCCTCTTTCCTCATTTTACGACTACTCATCACAGTATAACAGGGATATTTTGCATTCCTAGTAAACATTTCTTCCTTGGGTTGCCACCATTAGTAAACAGTTTTTCATTGATTTTTTTTTTTTTGGTTAGGCAGTGGGTTTAAGTGACTTGCTCAGGGTCACACAGCTAGTAAGTGTCAAGTGTCTGAGGTCGGATTTGAACTCAGATCCTCCTGACTCCAGGGCTGGTGTTCTATCTACTGCACCACCTAGCTGCCGCTTCTCATTAGTTTTTGCAACAGCCTAAATGAACTAGAAGAAGCAGATTTTAGGCAGCCTATTCTTATTTTCCTCATGTAAATTTGGAGAAATCAAGGCAGAAAGTGATTGAATCAAACAAGTTCACATAAGTTAGAAGAGTTAGGAGCAGAACTCAGACCCCTGCAGCTTGTAGCTCTGTCCAACTGTAGTCAGTGGAATGGGTCACAGTATTAGAAATAACTTTATTTAGGGCAAAGGGACCCACTTTTGTCATACTGGCATCAATGAGAAGCCAAACAGAGGAGGAAGTCTGTCTACTCCTCATGATACAACTCCATTCATTAGCTGAAAAGGACAGAAGATACATTACATTGAAGAAAGGGTGATGATACCTTAGCCACCACGATGGGAGAATGGTTTCATTCGTTCTCCCATATAGAGAGAAAGGAGTACATTTCATGTGAGAAAATAGGATGAGTGGTTCCAAGCCTTAGTTTCAATTTCATCTCATACTGCCTGTTTTTCTAAGATCTGGGTTTAGACAGATTTACATTGTACTTCTGCCAAGCACTGTTCTCATTAATTTTATAAAGCCAAACCGAATTGAAGCTGATATTTTTTGAGTAGTTATAGTAAACACATTTGGATTCTGTTTGATGAGAACTGTTTAATGGGTGAGATATCTTTATGCATTTTCTATAACTTCTTTTTCCTAGAATCAGAGAATTTGAAGTATTGATGGCATTTCAAACTTGGAAACCATAAGCCATAATGTTGCTGAAAGTATGAATTAAATCAAATGTTCTTGAAACCCAAATAATGCTACTTTATCTTTAGAAAAGAAATGAATAGATTACATAAGAGTGGAGAGGATTTTTTTTATAACTTGTGTATATGCATCAAGTTATGGGAAGGGACATTTGTGTTAGTTTTGTTTTTCAACATTTCATCTAAGAATTTTAAAAAAAGGTTTTAAAAACTAGGAATTATGAATATGAACAAAATATGTTGTAATTTTATTCATATTCTTCAAAAAATAGCTGAAAGGACCTTGCTAGGCATGATTGTTTAATTCATCCTCAGAGCTCCTGTCAAGCAGAGTTGAGAATAATTCTTGTTTTTTCTTTAGGGGAAGAGAGGCATAAGAAGACTTGCTCTGAATTGCAGAGCAAGTTAATTGAAGAACTAAAAATCAAAATCACAGTCTCATTTCAAATTATTAAAACCTTCTTAAGATTATGAATTCACATCTTTCATTTCCTCCATCACAAAGTACAAGCCCATCCACTCTTTGTTAGTGGCATTCATATTTTCCCCAATTCTCTCTCATGTCTAGGGGAAACTTTCATTAAAAAAAAAATCAGTGCTCAATAGATCAGCAAAGGCTGGGCCATTTTCCCCGGCTGTAAGGTTGGATTACAGACACTTTGAAGGTTTTTCCAACTCCAAAGGTCTATGATTTCTTAGGCCGTAGAGATCTCATAGATCTCATGAGTAAATGGCTTGAAATGGGTGACTCAGTATACTTTAGCACAAAGACTAAAAAGACTTATTGAAGTAGATCCTCTCTTTTGGTGGCAAGGGGCTTTTCAAACTTGATTTTCTCTTGGTTTAGGTAAGAATGCTGTGGGTGGGGAAGTCAAGAAGTGTACCTCCCGTCACATACAGATGGAACACATTGCTTGCTAGCACCTTTCTGCATGTGGAGGGGAAAGACATGCTAACTTAGAACATGGAGTGTGAGGAAATACAATCACACGTCCTAGACATGGGACTGATGAACATTTCAGCCCATATTCTTCAGATGAGTTTTTCATCCCAAGAAATGAATTGCGGAGCAACCAAAAAAAAAATATCCCCTCCCAGAGTCCCTCGAACAAAATCCTTAGTCAATCAAATTAGCAGAAAGCTATGCAAACTTACACAATTCTTTGGCAGCATCCTCTAATGATGTCTTCAGTGAAATACAGTATCAGAGGTCTATAAGGTTTCTAGGAAGCTCTTCATTGTGCTGTTGTAGAGTATATAAGACTGAGCAAACCTGGCAGCATTTTGGGTTCATCAAGCATTGCAAATGATTCTTCAAATGTTTTGGGTTTGGTAAAACCTAAAACACATTTTGCCAAGCACTTTTCCTCCTTAATTTTTCAAACTATGTGTGTTTTAGGGAAAATTTGAACCATATGGTTTTGATTCATTTGCTCTTATATCATTGAAATTTTTTTTCCTACAGAGCCATTTGATATCCAAGAAGTTTTCTGAGACTTTGCTATATTCATTTTCTTTAGACCCTTTCCTCCTTGAAAAGAGGAAGTTCTATTTGCAAATTCAGAGCCCACAAATTTCAAGGACCCTCTTGGTTCAGACATTTTTTATACATTTGGGCTAAATCTGAGTTATTATGAACATGTTTCCTGCTTAGTTTGAGCAGATGGGCAGGTTTTGATTTCTGGTTTAGGACCCAAACCAATAACAAAATAAGAAAATAAGTTTAAATTATCAAGGATTTTATTTTTTGAGAAAATTTACATTTTATTAATGAGTTTCCCCATTGGGT